CCACCTTTTCCCCTACACACCTTTTCCTCCCACTTACAGTCTGCAGACACTAAACACTTTTTCTTTGCTATTTTCTTATGTTAATATACTCTCACCTCATTTTACACTTTGACCACGTAAGCCTCAATGGGATTGATTTTATGTTGCAAATTTATAGTTGGTCAAAGAGTAATCTCATTTATAGAATCACAGAATAGTTTGGGTTAGAAGGAACCTTCAAAGGCCATCTAATCCAACTCCCCTGCAATGAGCAGGGACATCATGAACTAGATCAGGTTGCCCAGAACCACATCCAGCCTGGCAAAAGTCTGCAGTTCTGTCACAGCCTATACAAGCATATCTGCATTGATATTTCTATTCAAGCAATGTCCCTGCAGAAAACCTGTTCCCAGCACATACAGCTAGCGACTGCAAAAAATAATCTACCATAAATTTTAGATTACCCCTGCACTGGAAGTGCAGCTGTAAGATAGGGAAAGGCATCAATATTTGAGTATTTTACTATAAAATAACATAATGAAATTCTAAAATCATTAGCCAGTAACTGAAACCCAGTTTATCTCCTACAAGTGAATATGAAAAATTATTTCCATGTTTCCCAGACTATTTTTTTCTCATTCATGGATGAGAAGCGCAGTAAATTGATCTTAAAATGCTTTTGGACAGCTCTATCCACTTGAACAGATTCTGAAACTAACCTTTTCAGCTGTATGGTATAGTACCTCCTCATTTGGCAAATGAGATGGGTACTGAGTAAACTACATCCACTGTAGCTCACCAGGATCCAGCATGGGGAGCAGAAACATTCAGCAGACCCAGCACTCACAAAGGAGGTGCCAAAGGAGGCTTTCCTGCCAAGTGGGAAATCTTGCACAAGGTTACATGAATGCATTTCGAGTTCCTGACTTATCTGGCACCTTCAGGAAGGGCACCAAGGAGTGCTGCCAGTGGGATGTGCCAATAAGCAAGACAGTTAACTTGGCACTTGACACATGGGAGACCCAGATGTGCTGTTTGCTTAAGAAGACAACACTCAAATCGTGATGATTTGCTACAAGACATAAATCCCTGCCCCTGCTGTCACTGGCAGTGCTGTCGCAACCTCTGTGCACGCTGAGGGTGACCTCCCTGGGGGAAGGTTTGCTCTGCTGCAGTTGCTGCAGCAGCAGGTGAAGCCCTGCAAGCAGCAGCAAATACGTTGTATTGCATCAGGGGTGACAGACCGGTGACTGACAGGATGTTTTAAGGTGTAAAAGCTCATACAACTGACAGGGAAAGTGCAACTGAGGCAAGACCCAGTGGGAAGAAGGCATGCACTCCTAAGAGGGTGGAAACGGGAAGCTTGGGACTTTTGGCAGCAGGAAGGATGCCCAGTGTGGTACAGGGCCCAGGCAGCAGAGGGAAGAACAAGCTCCCCCAAGGCAAAAATCCAGGTTGGATTTTCTATCAAGAGAAAATGGTGAGTGACAGTGAGTGGCTGGTGACTTTCTTCCAGTATTGCTGAAAGAAAGACTGAGGTCACCTAATGTTCTGACTTTTCTCCTGTTTATTCATGCATACACCAATGATCCAGTGATGTAAAACCATTCCAGTTTAAAAGCAACCGCAGGGCTCCTGGGGGACAGGAGTCCTGGCAGTGTTTCTCTCTAATTCTATAGCAAAAGGGAAAAAAGCTTGGACAGCCGCAGATGTATCCAGTAAACTACACATGGCCACATATTTGGTAGCACTAGCTGAGCTTCCACTATTTTGCTTGTGGCACCCAATTTGATGAGGAAAGACAACTTAGAGAACAGGTCTACCTAGAAAAGATGGGGAATAGCATTTCGCCAACAGAGTTGCAAATCTAGTGCAGAGGACTGTCAGCCATGGAAAAGAGACCTAACCCAGAAATACATGAGGACGTGGCACATATACACAAAGTATCACTTGGCTGAGTAAGGAGCTTCTTAATGAACTAAAATGGGAAAAGCACATATGGAGATGGAAATGGTGGAAATGGAGCGCACATATGTGGAGACAATGACGGGAAACAAAGCACACAATCATTGTTTGGGCACAGGAACAAAACTAGGAAGAACAAAATCCAGCTGGAGCTAAAATTAATGGGGAACAGTAAAGGGAACAAGAAGGAATTTTACAAGTATGAGAGCAACAATAGGAGGTTCAAAGAAAATGCTGGTCTGCTGCTTTCTAGGGGAGATAAGATAATGATAGATGATACAGAAAAGCCTGCAGCCCTCAATACCATTTTTGCCTCTAAGTCTGCTCCCAGGCCTCTGCACATACAGTTTGGGAAGGAGAGGGATGGCTAAAGCGGGGCGGGGGGGAAATAGTTCCATGAATACCTGAAGAAGCAATATGCATTCAAATACATGGGGCCACAAGGAATACACCCATGGGTGCTGAAAATCCTGACATTGTGATTGCAACACCACTGGTGATCATCCATGAAGAATCACTGCTATTACAGGAAATCCTCAATGACTGGAGAAAGGTTAATTTTACATTCGTATTAAAGAAAAGGGAGAAGGAGGATCTAAGAAACGATACAACTGTTGTCTCACCTTAGTCCTTGGAAAAATCATGAAGCATGTCCTCTTGGAATCAATTTCCAACATGTAAAGGACAAGACAATCGAGAAAAGTCAAGAAGGATTATTGAAGAGCAAAACATGCTTGACCAATCTGGTTGCCTGCTATGATGAAATGACTTGCCATGCAGATGAAGGGGGAGGAGTGAATGCAATATAATTTTACTTTAGTTAGGCTTTTAACATATTTCCAAAAGCATCATCATTGATAATATGACAAAGTATGGGCTGAACAAAAGGATTTTAGGTAGGCTGAAAACTGGTCAGACCCCCAAACTCAAAGAATAGTCAGTGACTTGATGTCCAGTTGATGGTTGGAAATAAGCACAGTAACTTAAGGACTGCTATAAAGATACTGCTCAGTATCTTCATCAACAGCCCATATGAAGAGACAGAATGTACTCTCAGTAGATTTTCAGATGAGGTAAAATCAGGAGGTGTGGCTGCCATGCTGACTGGTAGAACTTCAATTCAGAAACACCACGGGACACTGGAAGCCTAGGCACTAGAAACCTTTTGAGGTTTCTCTTTTAGAAATGTCAGTAAGAGCAAAATTCTGCACCTAAGGAGAAAAAACCCAACGCACTGGTGCAGACAGGGAAGGAACTTGCTATGTTTCAGGCCTGCTGAAAGGATTTGGAGGCTACAGTGGCTGCTGAATTGTTTATAAACTAATAAAGTTCTCTTATCACAAATAATGTAAACAGTGCAATGGGCTATATTAGGAAGAATGTGGTCAGCGGAACCAGGAAAGTCATTACCCCTATCTACTCAGTACTTGTGAGCCCTCACCTTGAATAATATTTTGGGTCTCCAGCTCAAGAAGGATGTTGAGAAACTGGAGAGGGTCCACTGCAGG